TATGGTTGTTGGGGTCCGAGATGAGGTTTTTCTAGGAGTGCCAAACACATTTGCAGCAGAACAAGGAGCGGGCAGCTAGGTGGTGGTGTTGATGAAATCTGCTCAATAGTCTACCGAGGGCTATGCCCATGGTACTAGATGAATCGGTGGAGGTGCACGTGAGGAAACCGGATGGTGACACAGAACGTAAGAGACAACGATTAGGCAGGTTCAGGACGTAAGCTTGACGTAATACCCTATGTCCTATGTCTTTGTAGATTGTATTCACTACTACAAAACAAGGATATTGTATCACTTTCTTATAACATATTCATCAATGTGTTCCAGTGAAATTTCATAGTAACACAAAATAGTGTGTTATAGACTTTGGTTGTAACACAAAACACTTTTTTTATAAAAATGTGTTACCGGCAATAATTATAGTAACACAAAATTAATGTTACAAGCAAAATGTTACAAAAGTGTACTATGTTGTAACACATAAATAGAACATATAAAATGTGTTACAAATATATACCTTGTAGTAACATAAAATAATGTTATAGTCCAAGTGTTACAAAGAAACTTATACATGTGGACCTTCCTATTCATAGGCTACACGAACATCACATCTAGCTGTCGTCAAGGCTGTTAGGCAATCACGTCGTGGTCATCATATGAGAACCAAGTAGCAATGAGTAAGGGGGTGTTTGGTAGGGCTCCTCCTGAGGGGATTCTTCAGAGGAGTCGGAGCCATTTTGGAGGAGCTTCTATGACCACCAGAGGACATTTTCATTAATACAGTGACAATAGTTCTCCTGTCAATAATTTGTGACAAGACAAAACTCGTCACAACATATTGAATAGAATACTGCCATGTGTATGGTGACATGGCACATATGACATGGTAGAGGACGTGGCATTTAACATTTGGCCCATATAGCACGGGTTTTTTCATTATTATTTTCATTTACAATCTGCCCAATTGGCCCAAATTTTTTTGGCCCAACTACAAATTAGCAACATTATAGTCCAGTCCCATATTGTGGGCTAACCCAATTCTTCCATGTATTTCATCAGTTTTTTAATAGACCACCTAGTTCTTCCACGTGTTGCGTTCTTATTAGTCTAGATTTCAGCTTTTATTTTTTTATTAGTCCATGTCATAATAAATTGGAACAACCCAATAAAAATCCGTACATATAATTCAAGTTTACAGGCACATAACCACTCAAGTTACGAACACATAATGAGATAATTTATCAAGTCACAACCATGATGAGCATCCTAGTACGAGTATAATCTTTTTTTGAACTGAGCATTTTATTACTCATCGACTCCGGCCCACACTCAAACTCCTGAGGTACACCATCCCAAGTGTTACTAATGCCACTGGAAAACTTACACCTGGCAGCTGCTAAAGCATGAGCCACCCTATTACAGTCACGTTTGCACACACTAAGATTACATGATCTAAGCTCTGCGCTAATAAAAAATTTCACCTCCATGACTGGACCCCCAACTGTGGACAGCGTGTAGTTGTCACCTGAGAGAGCATCTCTGACAAGCATGGTGTCGGTCTCCACAATGATCTCCTGCACTCCCATGCTGATTGCCACCTGAAGTCGTGCATAACAAGCTAGCAGTTCTCTGCAGTTACTAATTGGCAAATGCAAGATAAAACTTAACAGCAGTGGCAAACCACAGCTGCACTTTGCTCTCTGCAGTTACTACAGCAGCTGCACAACAGCAGGTGCAGGATGCTTTAGTGAACACTCCCTTTAACATTTGGTAGCAATGGAACTGAAGAATTACTCTAGATAGTCTATAGCTCTTGTGTTAGAAATATGGTAGTTCACATTTTTCAATTATATCTTAGCTCATGTTATGAGTATCATGTTGCATAAGTCATCCATCAACAACTGAGACATGTAAGAACATAACCATTTAAAAAAAGAAGAAAATGCACACAGTAATTTGACTAGTTGCAAAACTGTAAACAAGCACAGCTGCTAAAGTTGCTAAGCAAGCATCAACATTCCAATAGAATGCCTAGTCATTCATCCTCAATCCATTACGAGCACAACTCACCTCCAACAGAAATCGACCCATATGGTAGTAGCCAAGACCTGCCCAACATCTCATTCACCTCCTGTAGCAGCATCAAGCCATGAATCAGGAACTTCATTAAAAGTTAACCCCATAAAATTTTAGGGCCAAAGACTGAATTAGTGAAAATATGCAGCGTTAAACCAATGTTTTTTGGGATCACATGTTCAATAGAAAGATTGAATTAGTGAAAACATGCAGCATTAATCCATGTGCTTGTGCAACAGTCTATCATGTTGTCAGCTAGTCTCTATTTATGCAAAACAGTGCCACACTCTTGTAGCACAAGTCAGCCATTAATGGACTAACAAAGCAGGCATGAGTGCCATAGCAATAGAAAATACAATAGGTACTCAGTAGTTCTTAGTACACATACCAAAGTAGCATTTCTTTTCCCCATTAAGAGAGAGTTACAGATTAGTACAAAAACAATTAACTTGTGCTGCTGGACTGCGTAAAGAAAACTGAACTCAGTAATAAATCAACTTAAGAATGTGTAGAGAACTAGCATGGCCAAGTAACAATTAACTTGTGGTTTCTTTATATATTTTCGTTATCATATCATACAGGTATAACATATATTGTTACGATCATACCATTGACCACCCCAATAAAGTTCACATATATAAATTATCATTATAGTAAATTTCAATAAATATGAGAAGAACTTGTACAATTACACAATAAAGAAAAAGGAGAAACACAAACCATTGAAGAAATGAGCTTACACAATAAAGAGTCAGGTACTGCACCTCATGAACTATGATTGGTCATTCAATCCATTGCCACTAGCATCCGCAGCATCACTAGCATCCACCGTGGTTCCCTCAATGTCTGTTCTAGCCCATTGATGTCTTACATTTGCATTACTGAACATATCTCCAAGGTGTGTGACATGGAATGGCTCATTTTCTACATCATCTTCCCATTCATCACAACCTGTGTCAGATATATCTCTTGGTTTCATCTTCATGACTACAGACCACCCAGGGTTTTCTTTGTCTTCAGCATAAAACACCTAGTCAGCTTGGTTAGGAAAAATATACGGTTCATGAACAATCTTTTCTCCTGTATGTATCATGTGTGAGAAATTAACAAGTGTGTAGCCATACTTGTCCTTCTTTATTCCTCTTTTAGAAAGAACATCAACCCATTCATATTTGAAAAGTACCACAGAAAAATTCCCAGAGTAGTTTAGCTCAATAATACCAATTATCCTCCCATAGTAAGTCACATCACCTAAAACTGGCCTGCCATCACTTGCACTGGCATAACTTGATGTTTTTGCAGTTAGCACTACACCACTATTTTGTGCCACCCTATCCAACCGTTTGGGCCTAAAACGGAAACCTCGACTGTTGAAAGTACGATACCTTTTTGCAGCATCAACTGGGCCACGAGCTAGCCATCTAATGTCATCTTTAACACCATGAATGCCATTTTACCTCTCTAACTGCATTATCTGTACAATTATACAAGTTTAGTCCTGCACGTTAGTGCTACATAAGCATTTTGAGTTAAGGTACTTACATGACCTCTAAACAATTGATGGAACTTCTCATTTTAGATTTTCCCAACATCTCTATGACTGGCGTCCAGTACCTTTTCCAATGATCTCTTCAGCATGAGCTCTACAATTTACATGTAAGAAAATTTATGGGAGGCAAAAAAATAAATGTATGTTTACAATTTTGAGATATTACCTAAGGTATGGATCGACATCGGAACAATTGAATAGCACATATCTATGTGCTTGTACTTTAGCCAAACCTCTCAGGACATAACTACTTGGCTTCCCAAGTGGTTTCCCAGATTGAGGAAAAAGAGTTGATGCATGTCTAGTAGAGCATCCAAGTGACTCCTCATTATCATCATTCTGTGAAAGCCTATTAGACAATGTCTGAAAACCATCAAGAAATGTTGAACAAAAGTGCATAGCCTCTTTTGTTAGAACTGATTCTGCAATGCAGCCCTCTAGACAAGCTTTATTTCTCATGTTTGACTTCAAATCACCAAGGTACCTACACAAACTAGTATAAATTAATAAAATGTATAATTTAGCATGCAAAGCGAAGGTACCAAACATGGCTCTTAATTTTTATAAGAAAAATATACCTTTCCACAAAATACATTGATCGATAACATATAGGACCACCTATTTTTGCCTCTGTTGCTAAGTGAAGAACTAGATGCACCATGATAGTGAAAAACCCAGGAGGGAATATCATCTCCATCCGACATAACATCATTATGATTCGGTCCTCTAACTTCTCAAGTTCATTCATGTGGAGAACTTTTGCATTCAGTTCTCTAAAATATCCACATAGATCAAATAAGACAGATGTAACTTCATCTGGGAGAAGACCTCTCAGAGCAAGTGGCATAAGTTGTTGCATTAGTATGTGGCAGTCATGACTTTTGAGGCCTGAAATTTTTGCTTGACCAATATTTACACATCTAGAGATGTTACTAGAATAACCATCTGGAACTTTTATGTCACAAAGGACTTTACAGAATTGTTCCTTCTCCTCTTTAGACATGTTATACAAAGGAGGAGGCAAGTAATACTTATCATTAGCCTTTTTTTGTGGATGTAGATCTGGCCTGATGTTCATTTCTTGCAAGTCTTTCCTTGCCTGCAGATTGTCCTTTGATTTGGCATCCATTTCTAAAAGTGTCCCAAATATATTTTCACACACATTCTTCTCTATATGCATAAAGTCAAGATTGTGCCATAGCAAATTATACTTCCAGTAAGACAAACAAAATAGGCCACTAACACCCTTCCATGTTTTGGACTTCTCAAAGTCTTTAATTGATTTTATCCTTTCCAAAAGAGATACTCCAGAATAAGAAATAGGTCTCAACCGATGCTCTTCGGTTCCGTCAAATTAAATGGCATCATAACGAAACTAATGGCCCGTGGGTAGAAATCGTCGGTGTCCCATGAAACATTGCTTGAGGCCATGCTTCAAGCGTATTGAACTTGTTTCATCTTCATAGGACACACAACCCAACTGTCCCATAACACTGTACTGTACCAGTATCCCTGTCCCAGGGTAGTCACTCACAGTATGCAATATTGTAGCGTAAAGTTGAAATCTCTCATCTCGAGATGCATCATATGTAGACATACTAGTGTCAAACAACTCATTTAGCTCATCATAAACTGGCTGCATAAATGTATGGAAGTCCTTTCCAGGGTAACCAAGAATTATTAGAGTGAGCATAAGAGAAGAAACTTTCATGCATAACCATGGTGGAAGGTTGTATGGTACTAATACATCTGGCCAACAACTATGGGTAGAATTACACTTCCCATATGGGTTAAAACCATCTGTTGCTATTCCAAACCTCATGTTTTGAGAATCTGATGAAATATGAGGGTGCTGGGAATCAGTGATTTTCCAAACCTCTGAATCAGCAGGATGGCACAAAGCACCATCCTTTGTAGGCTCCTCATCATGCCATCTAGTTAACTTGGCTGTTTCCTTGTTCATGAAAAGCCTTTTATGTCTAGGTTTGATTGGAAAGTAACGCAATACCTTATGTGGGGTTGCCTTTCTTCTTTCCTTGTTTGTTAATGATGTTTTATCTGGCTTATTTTTCCATCTTGAAGCTCCACATTTTGAACAGAAGTCATCATATTTCTTGTCTTTCTGATAGAGCTGACAATTATTTGGGCACACATGAATCTTCTCATATCTAAGACCAAGCTTCGCAATGGTCTTCCGAGCCTCCACAAATGTTCTAGGTATATTTGAACCATTTGGGAGAGCTAGCTGTAAAATTTGAAGTAGATCATTAATTGATTTATTGCTCCACTTGTTGGTCGACTTCACATGAAACAATAGGACTAGGAAAGAAAGTTTTGATAGCTCACATCCTTCCCATAAAGGTTCATCAGTAGCCCTAAGCAAATAAAAGAAATCTGGTGTTTCCGCATCTGGTCGATCTTCAGATAAACCTGATGCGTGAGGTCCATTTGTGTGATGTTCATCATCTATATATCCAAAGGCTTCTTGGACTACTTGGCGCATATTAGTGTTTAAACTTGGACACGGTGACTCTGAATCTTTGTTAGCAGAGATATAAGATGTTGTTTCCCCATGACAGCCCCATATAGTGTATCCACACAGCATTCCATCACACACTAAGTGCTCATACACTATTTCTTGCATTTGTAACTGCCAATTGACACATTTGACACAGGGGCATTGAATCCTTGCATCGGACTTTTTCCCATTGTAGGTAAACTTAAGAAAACCCTGTACCCCAGCAATGTACTCATCATTTGGTCTTCTGGATTGCAACAACCTCTTAATAGCACTTAAGTCCATTAATTCACTGAAATCAAGAGATACTCTGCATCAGTTATGTGGTACTTCAATAGCTGAGACAAAATGTTGGAAATACATAAAAAGCTATGAATTATATAAAGTGGACTCAAACAGTTTGTTTCATCTCAATTATGAGGAAACAATTTAATATTCTAATAACTACAAATGAATATGAGATATTTCGACAATTCCTACTTCAAACTTAACTAATTGGGCAATGTTCTTGGAAAAATGTTTGTATGAAAAATACTTCGACAATTCCTACTTCAGACTTCAGTATGAAAGTATATGGCTCAGAGTTGCAGCAAGCATCATTATATGCATTCAACTATGTTTTCCATGATACTATAATGAACAAAGCAAGTACTAGATATTCCATTGATTATATTTTCTCTGTCTGTTGAAATCGAAGTTCATCAACTTAGTAAGGTTGCCTTTTTTTCTAATGAACTGGAATCAGATGTGCCAATTTATGTTTGTGAAGGAGAGGAGTTAGGTACAAGAGACCTAAAGAAATTGTACAGGCAAACCAAAGAGAAACAGCCACAAGGCAAATAACTACGGAGTACTAAGGTTGCCATAGTACAAATATGATAAACATAATTCAAAAGGCATGCGTATGTAGGTCTTCTACATGTTTGCTAGTGTACAGTTTCACATGGTTGCCATTTAGTTAGACACAATTATGACTAATGTGGTGAAAAAGTTTCATCATAAATGTTACTGACAACATTATCTGTGGAGATTCAGAAATAGCACCAAGGATATGCAGTTTTGAAACCCACATGGCTGACTCAGCAATGACAAACCGTGGAATTATTTAGGCCTTCAGTTTTGCATTTGTTACTATAATATACTAAATCACAAATTTGTCATGGATTGGAGGTTGCTTTTGCACTCAAAACAAGGCTTATGTTCAGGGTTTAGACAATGCATTACACATGACATAGTCATATGCCCATATAGGCCAAATGATGTGCTAACAAGATCACATGCCCTGAGTTAAGCAGGGCAGACTCATCTTAATAAACAGACATATATATTTGCCTAAAAAATAACATACACCTGTAAGATAGCATTAGTGATTAGGTTCACCAACATGATAGACAAGAGCTTCGTCTAAAAGAACAAATCAAGAAAAGAAGATACGCTCTGCCCTAAACCTTTGTTCTCAAGAGTAAGACGAAATGCACTGGGCTGGCAGGCACACAGGTACTGTACGAGGTGGTCCTCGTCGTCCTGGGTAAAGTTGACGTCGTTGCCTTCACAGGAGGGGAAGGAGGCGCAGAGGATGGCGCCAGCCCGTCGTTTTCCCCTCGCATCCGCAGAGGCGAGCGGGTCCAGGTGAGGGCAGCACTCCATGGCGGCATCGATGGAGAGCGGGTCCGGGCGATGGGGAGCACGAGAAGCACTCTACGGCGGCGGTCATGGAGAGCAGGATTCGCAGGCGATGGGCGCGGGGTCGCCGATCGCCGTCTCGATGTTGTTGGAAATCAGAACAGAACCATGGCAGCCGCCAGCCAGGCCTTTTGGTTGGCGATTTGACGAGAAGGGCGCGGTTGGTTGTGATTTCGTAGATGCAGATTTCTTTTTCACGGTATGAGCAGATGGAAAGGCGGATTTGATCAGTAATGTGCAGGCTGGCCTAGCCATCCGCCATGCCGACTAGGACTCAAGTTCAACACAAAACTTGTCTTACTCGCAAAAAACACACACACACACACGGATACATATTATATACCATTGGTCATATTAACTAAAACCAAAATAATTAGTCATATTCAATTAACGTTCATTAGTTTGTGTGGCTCTTTTGGGAGCCTTCGCCCCCCACATGGGCCTTGCTATGAAGAACCTGCGGTAATGGAACTCATACATCGCCGGGGTGTTTGGGGGGGTAGAAGTGGTTAATGAACCTTCGGGCACGAGGCTTCACCCCCAACATGGATGTGGAATCAGATTGAGAAAACAACTAAAAATGTATTTGATGTATCCATTTAGTATCCATATTATAAGCGAATATGGATATACATAAGGCTGGATGGAAAACTCGATGCTCGTTAGCTATAACGAGCCAGCTCGAGCCAGCTTTTGACAAAGCCAAGCCGAGCCAGCTTTTTAGCTCGTTAGTTATAACGAGCCAGCTTGTTATCCTACCTAGCCAGACCGAGCCGAGCGAATACGAATATCCATATTATAAATGAATTAGAATACGAATATGGATACCCATATTATAAAGAAATATGAATATCCATATTATAAAATATGAAATACTAAGGAATTAATCATGTCCTTTAAGAATACTATGTTGTTTAATCAAAGGTTTATAGTATTAAACAATAGGATAAGTAAAATCAATCTTATAGTCTAGAAAATCAATTAACCAATGCTCAAATTGAATTGGAAACAAACACTAACAATTGTTGCTAGGGTGAACACGATATTGATTCATTTATTTTATTTGTTCGAAGTTGCTGGAATGAAAAATCTTTTTTCACATTCCAGTAACATACAAAGTGGCGCCAAATCAGCTTTTCTCTTCTAGCTTTTCTAATTTTTCTCACCCACACTGTACATGCCTCTACAGCCTTTAGGCGCCAAATCAGCCCCGCCGCCCGCTGGGCATGTGAATGAAAACCCAAAATCCTCCAGCGTCCATCCTTGATCTCTCCCCAAAATTCTCTTCCCTCCTGCTTCTCTCATTCCCACGATCCACATTGCCTCTCCTCCGGTCCTTCTCTCCCTCCGCCAGGACTCAAATCTCCTCTCCACCAGGAGCCTGCACACCAATCGCACTACGCTCGACGAGATCGTGTTCCTGCAGGTGACGCCGAGCTCTTTCCACCCCTCCACCACTCCTTTTCTGCATGCGACTTTGAGTTCCTGCGACCTGCGGATCCTGCCATCCCGTCGAATGTCGGTTTTCTACCAGCAGATCAATCTACAAGCATCTCCAATTTGCAGAGCTAATTTTTGTGGAATTTTCGTTCTTCCTTTTTGGGGTGAATCTATTGAGGGGTTTTGATCGTAGGATATGTGACAAGATATCTTTGTCATCAATCGATTTGATACCCTCACAGAAACCTTCAATTTGGGAGTTTGGCCAAGGTTTTCCCTTTTCTAGGGTTCCCAGAAACTGGAGATGAATTCTCAATCTTTAATTCTTTATTAATGTTAGCGGTTAGAGTAGAACACCCATGAGATATGAGATAGTGGTGCCATGGTTTGGATTTCTTTTCCATCGGTCTTGATTTGGTTTGTTTGATGAGGTTTGAAGCAGCTCTTCTTCAGTTGCATACTGTGCCATTTCTGAAAACGTCTTCTCCAGAAGATGAAATAGTTTGCCTGCTCTTCCTTTCATTGCTCGCCATGCTATTTCCATCTGATCTTAGTTCCCTACAGATGTGCTCCATCCAAGCAGCAGGACACGGACAGCTCATCTCAGTTGTATAGTGCTGCTGCATATAGCTGTCTAGGTGATTTATTTACATTTTTTTCTCATGGAAACACTTTTGTGGAGGGGGATTTAGAATTCAGCAGAGGAGAAAGAGGATTAAAAACATTGTAATTTGAGGTCGCCGGAGGAGCTAAGCTGCTGCACTTCGACAATTAGGTAAGCTGGTAGCAGTGCATCGGTAGCTTATCTGCTCATAGAGTTGCACCTTTCATTTGCTCGCACAGGCAAGGGCAAAGTGCTAGCATTTTGTCATTCATGTTACAGAATACTCCGAGCAGCAGTTTAGTATGCTTTTGTGAAATGTCCTATCATGATGCAGTGGATCCATCTTTTAATAATTTCTGCTTTCATGCTTTTAGTAATTATTTATTCAATACTTGCTAGCTTCTTAGGTTAGCTTTTTGTGCATGGTTGAAATGGGACAAAACAAAGGGCAGACTTTTCACATTTTATTTATGACCTCTGTTTCAGTTCTACTCGGTCTGTGTATACGACTTAGTGCTTGATTGTTTCACTAGTGTCATGGTATGTCAGCCCGTTTATTTAATTCAAGCTAACTGGACACTACTATATATAGAGTTAATTTTCAATCAAGCAAAACAATAACAGTGATTTTTCCCTCCTAAATGTTAGGAAAAATAAATTATCATGCATGTTAATTTTATATCTTATTTAATGTAAAGAACCTTTTGGACTATTTGTGTTCGTATATATGTGTCATGCTCTAGACCATCCTATCTGAACCATAGCACTTTACTTGTTCTCAAGCTCCAAGTTCAAATAACATTACAAATATTCACTTTAGTCAAATTGTTACTATTCGGTTATACTTGATTCTTATTTGTGAATTATAGTATGCTTTATTCTTATTTTCCTATTGGTGCTATATTTTTATTTAGATTGTCCTACCATGGCGGTGGATAATTGGACCATAAATCTAGAATGTGATATGAAAGCTGAAGGACATAAACATGTGCAAAGGGAAATGGATAGAGATGAGATATGCTTTTTCGACTTTGATTGATCTGATCGAGGGTTCGGTGTACACATCAGTCGACTATCTATACTACAAGAGAAAAGATAGCTTGGTTGTAATACAAAAAGATTCTGATGTGATGGAAATGCTCAACGAGTGTGAGAGTGAAAAGACGGTTAATTTGTTTGTGACAAGGCAGAGACGGGCCACTTTAGCGCCTACCAAGTCCAACAAAGAACCATCCAAATCTAAACAAAAAAAATAAAGGTATTAGAATGAACATATAATTTACTTTTCTATGTATATTTGATTATTCAAGGACAACTATTCCAAGTCATGTTAGTTATCAATGATTTATTTTCATCCAAGATTAGCATATCCAACCCCACCATGGTATGTGACTTAATAAATACAATCTTGATAGTCTAATGCAAATATCTAGTTGTTTAATAAAAAGATTACATATTGTTTATTATATTTACTATAAACATGTGTTTATGTCCCCAACATTTGTTTAGCAGGACGAGGAGGTACAAAGAAAAAGAAAGGATTAAATGTAATGCATACTGAAGCATTATATGCTAATGAGGTTGAGCAGCATGATGATGAGAACCAGAACACATCAGGTACAAATGTAGTTTGATCAATCTCATTCATATGGACTGCATCTTAACCAATTACTATCACAATCATTATTTTTTTAATAGGTGATGGCGATGAAGTACCTGGTAAACGAAAGGGGACCGTTTTAACACATGTTTGGGATCTACTTGGAAGAGATCGGATAGTAGTAAGATGTAATATGCTTGGACAACCCATTGAAAAAGAAGGTGGACTTTTAGGACAATTTTTGGGCACTATAGCAAGAAATGGTGGTTACTGTCCTTTTGGTGCCAAAGATTGGAGAGAAGTTAAGAAAAAAATGCAGAAACCATAATTCAATTCATCCAAGATAGCTAAATTTTTCAAGACATAATGTTTTTATAAGATTAAGTATATGTATGCTTATTATCATGTCATGAAGTCAAATTCATTCATTAGTGACTTTCTTATTTTAGACAAAGTTCTTATATCCTCATTCATGTGAGAAATGGATATTGAAATCAATTGGAAGAGATTTGTAACACCTTAAAATTTGCCTCTTTTGAAAACAGGATTAAAATGAATTATTTGTGAATTTTTGTGCACATGAAATATAGGAAAATATTTTTTTATTAAATTAAAATTCATCATAAGCTAGCAACATGGATGTGCATACATGCCGATGCATTTGTTTCTTTGTATTGTGTGGATTTAATTCAAATTGAAAATATGCCAAAAAGTTTTTGAAGTTGGCTTTGAAGTAAAAGAAAACAAAATTTCAAAATAAAAGAATTTAAAAAGTTGTAAAAATTTATTTTTGAAAAACTTACCAAAATTTCTCATTTTGTTTGAATTGAAAAGTGTGTTTGAAACCTCATTTGGATTTGAATTTGTTTTACATTTGAATTTGGGAAATAGAACAAGATTTGGAAATTGGAAAAATTTCTTTCTCTTTAATCTGGCACGAAGGCCTGCCCTGCTCTCCCTCTATTCGCCCTGCTGGCCCAAGGCCATAGCCCGCTTGCCTCCAACCCTCTCTCACCCACGTGGGCCGAGTTGTCCGCAGCCCACTCTCTCTTCTCTCCGTGGCCTGCTTCTCTATTCTTCCCGCAGCCCAGACGCACGCGCCAGCCCAACCAGCGCTCCCTCCCTTTCAGCCGAGCGGCCTAATCCGAGGCCCAGCCGCAGCAGCCGAAGCCACCAGCGTAGCCTGCCGCTCCCTTCTCTTCTCTCTACCCGACAAGCCGGTCCCGCTCCTGCACTCACCGACAGGTGGGCCATCCCTGTCAGCTACGTCCCCGTCCTTCCGCTCGTACCCGAGACGGACTCCGCCGTTGGTGAGTCCGCGCTCGTGCTGTTTCATGAATCGTTGTCTTGCGCGCCACGCCGCCTTGCCTCATATAAGCTGAGCACCCACGCTGCTTTCCTCGAACCCGAGAGCACTAGCCGCCACCCGTACCGAATCGCAGCGTCGTCGCCTGGATCTCACCGTGTGAAGCTCGACGCCGCTGGGGACACCTCCACTTGCTTAGCGCCACCGAAATCCCCCTAGGTGAGCTCGCCTCAACCTCCTCTTTCACCCCGTGCCTTTCCCGTTGAAAACCGTGAACCATAGGCCGTGTTCCTAGTCTCGCCGACGTGCTCTGTCGCTGGCAATGGCAGCCACCGTGTCGCCCTTACTGTTCTGGCGTCGGCATCTTTTCTCCCTCCCCATCTTCTCATCTCAGCCGTCTATTCCTGATCCAACAGTCCAAGATTTTCCGTACCCCTTCGCCAGCCAATTTTGCTAAAGAGTCCCGACGCTTTTCAATAATAGAACCCACGGTCCCTAGCGCCTTTCCCGATTTCATTTTCTTCTTTCGAAAGCGTACTTTGTTTCGGATAGATTGAAAATACGTTTTCAGCTATTTACAGTTTTGCCACTAGATTTGTTTAGGTCATAACTTCTCCGGTTTAACTCCGATTTGACCCGTTAAAATTGCGTTAGGTTCGTAATTTCATAATCTACATGTTCATACTATTGTTAGATATGTTTTCAATTTTTAAAAATTGAGGTTAGATTTAATCTATTATTTTAGTAATGGAAATCTTGTTTATTTCATATCTTCTGCGTTTTAGCTCCGTTTTGACCCATTCAAGTTGCGTTAGATTCATAGCAACGAGATCTACACGTTAGTAATAGTGGTTACCATGTCACTATTTCTAGAATTTCATTTAAATAATAATTATGCAACTAGATTTTATAGATAAAATATGATTTGTTTTACTTTAGTTTTATAATTCGAATCTAAATTTGATTTAATTCAATTTATATAAGCTTCTATATAGTTAAAATAAATGAAGCCTATAGTTTTCTTTTCCGCGTATAAAGTAAATCTATCGGTAGATGTATCTTCTTAACTGTAGCTTCGATTAGCGTGCCTCTCGCGTCTGTGTGTTCGTAGCGTTGCGTAGAATCGTATTTCAAACTCTTTCACTTATTTTCTATGATTGGTGTACTGTTCTGATTAAGTTCTATTGTTTGCTTCGTGTATGATTGTATGGATGCTTGTGTGGTGCTTTATGATTTCATCCAGTCGGTGAGACATACGTGGTGATCAAGAAGAAGAAGAATGTTGAAGATTACAGCATACCGAAGGATCGGTGTTTAAGGCAAGTATAGCATGGGATCTTCCTTGTTGTCCTATATACCTTTAATCATTTAATTCATGCTGCATGTGTCTACCTTGACTGTCACTAAGGATTTCCTAGTACTTTGTTACCTTGTACCTTGATACCCATGGGGTATTGCATTGGGTAGTATGATGCTAGCGCTCAACTAAAGACCATGATCTTGTAACTGACTAATGGTATATGCAATAAACACTAAAAGATATTTTTTGTAACATGGAACAAGGGGGCTAGAGCATTGTGCTGTTTTATGATGCTCTAGATTCCTCTCCCTAAGGACTTATTTGTAAGTGATCATCCGGGACTTATAGTACAACTATGAGGGCTATATGGCTCTGGCTTTAGCTCAGTATAAGGAACTTTTCTAGCTTGTTAGATGTTACCTTTATTGGTGTAAAAATGGCTTGACGAATCGGGTATAGGACAACCTCTACTCTTATGTGTATAGCCGTGAGGGAATTATGCCATTTGACAGGGGGGTTCCTATATCTATTTGCCGAGTGAATCTAATGGCCCTAACTTGTTAGATGAACCTTTGAAAGTCTTCATAGTGAACCCTGCCGACCTTCCTTGGTAGTGGGTTAAGAGGCATGTGACCTCGAGTGAAAGGGTAAATCATGACTCACAGTGAAAGTGTACAACCTCTACATTGTGTAAAACTGGTATATCAGCCGTGCTCACGGTCACAAGCGGCCTTAGAACCCTTACCGAATAGAGGATGAACATAGATGATACTGATGATGAAGATGTTCACTAATGATTACCGTTTATGCTATTTATTATTCATGTTTACCTAATCATGTGTTTATGGGCTTGTGATAAACTTGTTGCCACCCAATTGCTAAAAGATGACTCATTAAATGCTAATCGTAGTTGAACCAGTGTTAGCCTTTTGAGCCTCATGAACCGCATGTTATATTTGTTGAGTACGACATGTACTTACACTTGCTTTATTTTTCAATTATTTGGATAAAAATTTCTGGATGAGTACCAGATTGCTAGAGTTTGGAGGAATTAGGCTTGTGATTAACCAGTCAGTTGTCCCTGTGGATTTGGAGTCTTCACCCGAAGATTGGAGTTGTCTTTTCACTGTTTGCTATCTAAGGTTATATTCTTTATACTAAGTACGTTATATATTGAGCATTGTCATTCGATATTACCCTTATTTGTAGCTATATGTGAGATTTGACTTCCTGGGCTTACATATGGTGTGTATCTGGTTTTATTCTTAAAACCGGGTGCTACAAAGTGGTATCAGAGCAATGCTAACTGTAGGACGCAAGCCTAGATAGAACTGGACGTTTTAGCATGCTTTCATCTTTGCTTAGTTCTTGCTTTCTCTCTAACCTTATTATTTGCTAAAAGTTATGCTCATTTTGGCCTTTGTTCTGTTATGAAAACTTTGTATCTATTCGCAATCCTCTCTCTTCGTGTATATAGATGGGTCGTAATGAGGAGACCACCAGCATTAGAGATCAGGAGGACCAAGCTACGTTGTCCTTGACTGCATTCGACAAGGAGAAGCTTGTAGCTATGCAATAACAATTACTAGAAGGAATGACTCAACATAGGAGTTTTCAACAATGCTTGTCACAAGGTCAAACCAACATACCAAAGGGACCAGTGAAGAGACAAGTGGCAGAAGCTTGGAAGAAAATGAAGTCCAATGAAGGTACGGATAGTAACACGCTCGGAAGTTAGTATCAATGTCAATGCTGCAAGCATTATGGTTTTCCCTATCTTCAGAACAAGTCTAATAAGAGGGAAGTCAAGGTGAACCCAAGTTGTGAAGCTAATGTGGATAAGAAGAAGAAGGCGGTTTCATCAGAGCCAGAATTGGGAAGCAATCAACATTCGAGTTCTACTACGTTGCCACATCCAGCTCTAATCCCTGGTCAGATAAACTCAGACTCTAAAGAGTCAGAATTTCTCAAGCTAAGATTACTCCACTCTTTCCATAGGAGGAATGCATAGATGAGTGGACGATCACCTATAGGCAGTTTCAACCCTGAAAGATCAAGTGAACTAAAAAGTGGTCAAGTCTAACAAAGATGAACCTTCAGAGTCAGCAAGCTGACAACACACTAAGCAACAATTCTATGGAGTATGACATCACAAAGGATCTAGCTAAGAGAAAGTGTTATCATTGCTAGCAGGAAGGACATTATGTTAAATCTTGCCCACAGAAGAATCAACAATTACACCATGGAAGTAGCCAGAGTCAGATCACTACAGGACTGCCACCAAGAAGTGTCAGTGATACCCAACCCAAAAGAAGCATTCGATGAGAGTAATGAATGAAGAAGTCATGCTAGACTACCCAAGATCCTTAGATAAGGAATAGGAGTTTGTGCCCTTTATGTAATAAAAATGATAGTATCGCAAGTTGAGTCAATGATTGAATTATGCATCTTTATTGCTTGTTGAATTGTCATTATGCTTATGATTGTTTTGAATCTTTGTAATGATTGCGATGATCTTGTTGGGTGTTCCCACAATTTTATTTAGTTTATGGGCCTAAGGTATAAGGATCAGTGC